TTCGTCTACCAGCACATATAATATTGAGTCATTTCAATCGCAATGAAGGAAGTCGATTTTTGACATGGAAATTCTAAAACTACGGTACACTATGCATCTACTGTACTGTACTCAGTAGAAAGGACGATGGTGAGGTAAGAACTTGGTTTAGCCATGGAAACAGATAGTACAGACAGAAAGACGAGAAGTGAACATTCAGTACAGATCATTTGAAGTTTTGAACTGCTCATTCTACAGTACAGTGTACTGTAGTGTACGCTACTATGGAAAGCAAACAAAGCCGTCCAGTACAGTACTGTACTGTACAGTGTACAGTAGGTCATCGGAGGACAATCGTAGACAGTCACACACTGACAGTTCTGTCGTGATTGATGTTTTAGTTGAAATGACCAACAACATACTGTAGTGCGATCTTAAAGGATTAGTATACTGTGCAGAGCGATCGATCCATTTGCTATTCCCCCTCTTTCTTTTACCATCAATGACTAAAATGGAGGTCGATGGACTAGCCAAAAATGATACACTAGTCAAAATAATTCAGCCGTGGCGTTTGGAGTAGTACAGTGTAGCGTTTTCCGTCCGTCTCTTTCTTACTTCAGTATCGCTGGCTTACCACACGGTATGGACTGACAGCACGTTTTTCTTCACGTCACTCTCTCCTTGATAGTCAACAGGGTGACGCCATAGGACCACGGTCTGATATCGCTTTTCATAATACCGATACAGTACCTGCAATGGAATACTATAGAATGACCGATACACTTTAGATCGATGCTGCCAAGGCGTAGACAGTCCAGTTACAGAACTGTACTGGACTATCGACCAGGACAGTACTGCACACTTGCAGGTAGGTAACAGTCAGTCAGTGATTCACTTTCGATCGATACTACCAAGGCGTCGACAGTACAGTACAGTACTGGATTATCGACCAGTGCAGTACTGTACACTGTACAGTGTACACCTGTAGGTAGGTGACAGTCAGTCAGTGATAGACTATCGATCGATACTACCAAGGCGTCGACAGTACAGTACAGTACTTTACACTGTACACCTGTTGGTAGGTGACACTCTGTGACAGTCAGTCAGTGATACACTATCGATCGATACTACCAAGGCGTCGACAATACAGTACAAAACTGTACTGGATTATCGACCAGTACAGTACTTTACACTGTACACCTGTAGGTAGGTGACACTCTGTGACAGTCAGTCAGTGATACACTATCGATTGATACTACCAAGGCGTCGACAGTACAGTACAGTACTGTACACTCTGTACATCTATAGGTACAGTACTGTAGATGACACTCTGTGACAGTGAGTCAGCGATACACTATCGATCGATACTTGCATGGCGTCGACAGTACCGTACAGTAGACCTGTAGCCTGTAGGTGACACTCCGTGACAGCCGGTCAGTGATACACTTTAGATCGTTACTACCAAAGGCGTCGACGGTACAGAACTACATGTATACTGAGCTATCGACCAGTACTGTACACTGTGTACAGTACGCCTGTAGGTGACACTCCGTGACAGTCGGTCAGTGATACACTTTAGATCGTTACTACCAAAGGCGTCGACGGTACAGAACTACATGTATACTGAGCTATCGACCAGTACTGTACACTGTGTACAGTACAGTATGCACAGTACACCTGCAGGTAGGTGACAGTCAGTCAGTGATCCACTTTTGATCGATACTACCAAGACGTCGGACATTACGGTACAGTTCACCTGTAAGTAGGTGACAGTCAGTCATTGATCCACTTTCGATCGATACTACCAAGGCGTTGACTGTATTGGACTATCGACCAGTACACTGAGTACAGTACTGCACCTGTAGGTAGGTGACTGTCAGTCCGTGACCATCGATAAAGAAAGAAACAGTGTCGCTTTACATTCAAAGCCAATCCAATCAGATTGAGACGCGCGTCACGTTATTATGCTGCCAGCCAATCATCATTAGCCACGCTACGCCAGTGCACGCTGCAACAATTCAGTCACCATCGTTCACCACCACTTGTGTGTGTTGTCTACAGTGTACAGTACAATACTCTACAGTATACTGTAGGCAAGGGACAGACTGCAATAGATGATGGCGTGCTATGGCTTGCTACAGTATGCACACCAGAGTGTCCGTAGGGACTACTGTACTTTTTGTACTTGGGTCCCGTCCAAAAAGTCAAGTCCACTACAGTACATAGTACCCTAGTAGCCTCACCTTCCTGGGCTTGACTCTTTTAATTGTTGGACTCTTGCTCCCTCTTGTACATTCCATTCAAGACCGGTTGATTCTCATCACCATTTCTTCAGAGGTGGTCATCCATTACTCCTTGCTATTTTATCCATCATGACCTGGAAATACTATCTCTTAATTGCTCTACTCTGTCTGGCTTTAACGCGTAAGTTACCAGTATTTTTGCGGAATATTTTTTGCCTTTGCGCCACACATGTTAAGCGATTGGAAATTCCATCCAATTGAAAATGATTTCTTCTTCATTTTCGCTCATGTTTCTACTGGCTCATTGGATCATCATGTCGACATGATGGTCATTGATGACATGATAAAAAGTTTAAAAAAAATAGCTAGAGATCATTTACAATGGCATTAGTAGTAAGATAGACACGTAAAGGGTGCAATAGTTTATGTCAAAATGGTGACTGAGCGTGTAGAAAGAAGTCAACAGCGTGGTTCATTGTACAAGAGTACCATGCAATCAAGCGTGCCCAACACGTTGGTGCAAAATGGCATTGCTTCTGTTTGGAGCAACCTTAAAATGTTCATAGAACAAGAGTAGAAAGAATACTTAGAAAAGCAGTCTTGTCCTCTGTCCAATACATGTCTATCGATCATCTATTGGATTGAGTTTTCCGAAAATGACCGTGCTCTAGCGGTGCATAACTTCTTCACTCAATGCTAATTTCATATTATAGTACAAGACGATATGGATGCATACTGGCTTGCATCGATATACCTTCTTCACTATTTCACCTTGGCCCATCTTCAATGAATGCGCAAGATGCAAGCATTTGCTAGTCATTTTGGGAATAGCTATCAATGTTAAGTAAGACTCCCCAATCCTGTCCATATCTAGTAGATGGATTTGGATGAGAAGCCACTCACGTCATCGATTCCAAGGGAGCTTCTTAAAGTAGAAATCGCTGAAAATGCTTGCATGGATACCGAAGCATCCGATTTGTTGTTAATCACGCTTAGTAGATAGTGTCGATGTTGACAAACTTGCTCTTGTTAAACAACCCGTTTATATGCACTAGGTTTAGTAAGAAATCGAATTTAAATATTTATATATGGTTGAACACCCTATAACTTATTCAATACAGTACATGCGTGACTATGTTCATATAGTCTCGGATTTCATGTATGTACAGAAATGGCTTGTACTTGCAGTGAAATAGAGTGCTTAAACTATAAATCATGTTATTACTGTAGCGGAACAAAAGTAGTCTTTTGCAAACAAGCTATTTCCATTATCCATTCTAGACAACTGAATTCGATTGATTCGGTAATAGTATGCTCTTTACTGCTTTTAAAGCCATCATATCATCGACCAAGATGACAATCACTTCAGTGCAGTTACGAGCTTCTTGAATTTAGCACTATCACACGGTAGTAGATTTGAAAGAAACAAGTGAATATGCAACGCTTGAGAGAAATAACACCCGGGCAATCATCCATGCTTTTGTTTTCAATTTAAGACGGTTATTTTCATATCCTTCAACGTATTATGATCATGTGTACAAAGTAATTACATGATGTTGTTTTTTTCTCCCATACCATCAATGCCTCACTCACCGGTTATGACTCCTTTAAAATGGATAAGAAATGAATTGTTGATGTATTCACGACAAATTTAAAACAATAATAGTCAACGTGGCTAACTTTCACTGGTTGTTGCAGATTGCGCTAATAGCCCTAGACCGATCGATGCTACCACAAAATTATTAATATCACGCTTTCAATACCTTGATCTTGATCTGGTGGTAATCATGCTAAACGATAACAATAGATAAATAGTCTATTGCTCATGTGAAAAAAAAATAACAATTTCTTTATTATAGACTCTTCTTCTCTGAGACACTAGAGGTAGACTGAGTTATCCTAGGCGAATCGACAACATGGTTATTCATAAAATGATGATACAACAACTTGGATGAAATTATTGTCATCGTCCAGATCGATAACAAGATTATAAATAAAGTGTTATCCTTATCTACTATAGTCTACAGTTCGAGCAATACGTTAAAAATACAACTTTTATGATGAATGATGCTCTCTCTGTAAAACCATCGGTAGACTAATTGATCCCTAGAACGATCGGTCAGCATTGGTAATATCACGATGCAACAATTTAAATGAGTTCGTATTTATCTGATTATCACTTAGATGTTGCTTTAGTCGACCTGTGTATTTCACCCAAAAGAGTACAATTTTTTTGATAAATATTTTCCTGTGGCTATTATTGGCAGCTAAGCGTATTTATAATTTTTAGACTATTTAATTATACGAGACAAACACTGTTATTCAAATAATATTGATGTTCTCGTATCTATTACACAATTTTCATGTTGTTCTCTTATTCTACTGCATCGCGTTATATTTAATTAATTCATTAAGATAGACATGTACGGCTTAAAAAAAAATGAAACTTTTCAACAATCATTTAGTAAATAATGTTAGTAAGTCCACCAAATATTCAGTATTCTACTCCAACGGTATACGTAATGCAGATATTAGTACAGTGCTAATATTGATAGTAATGACATTATGAAGTGATTGTATTTTGTTGCGCAAGTTGCATTTTCTTTACCTTGTATAACATAAGAATGTGTTCAAAGTAACAACTATTTCCGACATAATTCCAATTTACAATACCTCTACTAGAAAATATATATCAACATGATTCAATTTTAGAGGCACACTGTAGTACTGTAATAAATGCGTATAGTTTCCACTTCTTCTACTTAGCTAGTCTAAGCAATGCCCCCTAATAGTAAGTTTTACATTGTTTATAGCAACCTGCAGAGCTGAGGACGACGAAAAACCAGCTGCAACTGTAGAAGAGGACATTGGTAAATCTCGTGATGCATCAAAGACCGATGACGAAGCTGTTGCACGGTATTATGAATAATAGCGATGCGAATCATTGCTGTTTTATACTTGTCTTGCTTAAGTGATTCAAATAGTAATTACAAGTTGTCTACTCTACTTAAATATCGACTTATGTATTCTTTTGCATATAACAATTCTGGTACGGTATCTACTTGTTAATGGTACAGGGAAGAGGAAGCCATTAAGGTAGATTAGCTGCTTTACTATTCGTATTACAGCATTCATTGTACGCGTACACTAGTGTATAGGTGCCAATATTTTGCAACGACGATTAGATGATATACTGTATATATAACATTATTATAATTCTGTCAATTCTGTAAAAAATGTAAAATAATGATGCTATTGTCTACACTGTTCTAAGTAGCATATTTTTTTACTCGCAGATTGATGGTTTGAACGTTGCACAAATGAAAGAATTGAGAGAAAAGGGTGAAAAGAGTGAATTTCAAGCAGAAGTTAGCAGGATGATGAAGCTGATTATTAATTCCTTGTACAGGAATAAAGAGGTATGTCCTAAGAATTTCGGCTTGTAATAGTGAATTTACATATGGTTGTAATTATTGTAGTAATGTCAATTTACATTAAAAAAAATGAGAATTAAGCAATTTCTTAATCTCGTGTAGATTTTCCTTCGCGAACTCATTTCCAATTCCTCTGATGCCTTAGACAAGATTCGTTTTATGTCACTTACTGATAAGGAAGTATTAGGCAATAACCCGGAACTCGAAATCAAAATTAAGGTAAATAGATGTACCATATTCCATTTGCAAGTTACATGGTTGATTAGAGCTTTTGCTTACTACTTTGAAACCTGATATTGTTAACTGGAAAAAAATAATTTTGTCAATATCAGGTTGATAAAGAAAATCGTGTTCTACATATCACCGATACTGGTATTGGAATGACAAAACAAGATTTGATTAAAAATCTTGGTACTATTGCTAAATCTGGAACAAATGAATTTTTCAAAAAGATGCAGGTAACTTTATTAATTTAAATCTTAACAGTCTAGAGCTAGAGACTGTTTAATGCCTTCTATCCTCACTTATTCATTATTTGGCATTTTACATATAGTAACTTAGCTGTTATTAATGAAGAGGATATTGCTATTACAATATTGTAGAGATCCATCTTTACTTAATACTTTGTCTATTGCCAATCTTTACAGGAATCTGGTGAAGAAAGCAAACAGGCTAGCGATCTCATCGGACAATTTGGTGTTGGTTTTTATTCTGCTTTCCTTGGTTTGTAAAAATACTTTACTATCTACTTATCGGCGCAACAATCGTTCTGCACATAATCCTTAGATCGCGTCGTCAGTAAGAAATAATAATCGACTAAAAATGTAATTTTGTAACTGTTATTTGCAGTCGCTGATAGAGTTGTTGTTACAAGTAAGCATAACGACGACATACAGCATATATGGCAATCAGATTCCATCCAATTCTCTGTTGCCGAAGATCCACGTGGCAATACTCTTGGACGTGGTACTACTGTCAGTCTGTATCTTAAGGAAGAAGCTCAAGAATACTTAGAACAAGAAACTTTAAAAACTATTATTAAAAAATACAGTCAGTTTATTAACTTCAACATTTACTTATGGGCAAGTAAGGTAAGATAATTATTTTCCACTCGTACACTCGATAATTATAAATATGTTACTAACATCGTGCAATAAATGTTGCAATGTATGCAAATTCAGTAAATGTCAAATTAAAATTGATTTAACAAGGTTGAAACTGTAGAAGAACCAATCGAAGATGAAGATGCAAAGAAAGATGAAAAAAAAGATGAAGAAGCAAAGGAAGAAAAGAAAGATGAAGAGGTAGAAGTTGAAGAAGAAAAAGAAGAAAAAAAACCTAAAACTAGAAAAGTAGACAAAACGGTTTGGGACTGGGAATTGATGAACGGAAATAAACCGATTTGGACGAGAAGTCCTAAAGATGTAGAAGAAACCGATTATGATGAATTTTATAAACAATTCTCGAAAGACACTGAATCACCATTAACCAAAACTCACTTTGTTGCTGAGGGAGAAGTTACTTTCCGTTCAATCCTATTCGTTCCCCAGAAAGCTCCCTATAACTTTTATCAAGAATTCGGCAAACATCTTGACAACATTAAGTTATATGTACGCCGAGTTTTTATCACCGATGACTTTCAGGATATGATGCCTCGCTACCTGTCCTTTATTCGTGGTGTAGTTGATTCAGATGATTTACCCTTGAACGTTTCTAGAGAGACGCTTCAACAACATAAGCTTCTCAAAGTAATCAAAAAGAAGTTGGTTCGTAAGGTCAGTTATTACCTTTCTTGAATTGATACCTATTTAATTATTCTTACGCTTCTGATATACTAAGAATAAATTAACTTTATTACCGTTGTAATAGGCCTTAGATATGATTAAAAAAATGAACCCCGTTGATTTTGATAAATTCTGGAAAGAATTTGGCACTAGTTTAAAATTGGGTATAATGGACTGTTGATGAATATGCACTTCAGGTATAACTTTTAGGTTTAATATCTAGTAAATTAACTTTGGAATCTTAAAGTACTTATGCTATCAATTATACTTCTATAAATTTAGTCGTTACCAGAATTTGAGGGCAAAAAATTCCAAAACGTTGCAAAAGAAGGATTAAAAATTGGTGAAGATACCGATAAAAAGAAGGACAGGCAAAAATCTTTGGAAACCAAATTCAAACCATTGACTGATTGGTTGAAAGACAAAGGTCTTAAAGATCTCATTGAAAAAGTGGCAATATCGCAACGTCTTTCTGAATCACCTTGTGCACTTGTTGCAAGTAGTTTTGCATGGTACGTGATATGGTTGATAATGGTAATTACCTACACACCTATATCTAACATTCTTCTTGATATTTGATTGAAATACACTTATATAGGTCAGGTAATATGGAAAGAATTATGAAAGCTCAAGCGTATGCTAAACAGGACGACGCCAATACCAAGTAAGTCACTGTAAAATAATTGTAATCATTCCGAGGAGAATGTTATACTTGAATGATTATACGAATAGTAAATGAAATACTGTAAACTCTAAGTAGATGTATTCTAATGAAGTATATGTAATACTATTTTTTTACTGTATTTTTAAAACCAGGTTCTTCACAAAGCAAAAGAAACACCTTGAAATTAATCCCTACCATCCTTTAATAAAGGAATTGTTAAATCGTGTTGAAGTACGTATTAAAGGCTTTAGCATAAGTTAACACAAATACAGTTGATACATTAACCTTTGCTGTGGCATAAAATTAAGTTGATATTAACGCTATTTTATCGTAACATCTTTAGAATAGCCCAGATGATCACACTGCTAAGGACATCGCACGTGTTATGTTTGATACTGCCATGTTGCGTTCTGGATTTGCATTAGATGTATGTAGGCTAAGTTGATTCAAATTTATTATTGGACTGTCACTGAGCGCTACATTATTATTTTTTTTTTAGCAAACATCGGATTTCGCCAGTCGCATTGAAAGGATGTTACGTCTAAGCGCTAACATCGATCCTGAGGCTAAGGTTAGTTGTTAGGTTTTATTGATGTTTGCTGTACAAGGAAGATTGTATTTAATGTTTGGTTAGCATTGATAATAATGTTTGTAAACAATAGGTCGAACACGAAGATGATCTTGATGAAGAAGAACAACCGGCCGAAGCTCCTAAGGAGGAAGTAAGTTAATTACTTAGTAACATTTCATCAACACTTGCAATGATGAGATAGATAATATCTTAAGACAGACAATATTATGCACTTTCGTTTTGCTTTAACTGTTCAACTGTCCTTCTAATCATTTGTATATCAATGTCACTATCTAGGAGGTCGATGATAATGAAGAGGATACCAAAGAAAAAGATGAATTATAGATTGTTTATTGATTAGCGTTATTTAATAGAGCTCTATGTCGTATAATTGCATGGTGTAGTTCCATTATTCGCCTTCTTGGGACTTTAGTAAAATAATTTACTAAAATAGTTCCTAATATGCCGGATTTTGCTGATTTCAGGTGCCTTTTTTTTGACATTGATATTTTACACTGTAAACGTTTTCATAGATACGACTCGTGATCTAAAAGAATCCTCCTTTAGCTAATTAGCAAGTAGTAGATAAGATCTATGCTTACAATCGTTTAAATGTTACTGCTTGTAAGGAATGCTGTATTAGATGCTGAATGATTTTCATATTGTAGCTGTAATACAAAATCTGTTTTATGGCTTTGTGGTACTGATCAAATTGACCATGTGATTGCAAGCTTCTAATGTCTCCTAATATTAGATTTCTCTGTATATCGCTAATAATGTGGCCGATATTTATAATTATTATTATTATCAAATCGGCTTCCTATCAATTCTGTTCCACAATCACCTTGAATAAATACCCTAACATTAACTTCTAATTCTGATGGTGAGTTTTCCTGTATTCGTAAGCGATGTTCATAACTGACAAATTGATATATTTATTTATTTTTATACTACAATTGGTGTATGTTCTGACAAACGAATTTAGCCAATTGACACCGTGGAAGTATCTTTTTGTAGTTATCATAACATACACTGCTAAGGCATTAGCAAAATTTATGAAATACTATTGAAAACGCCACCGTTGATTAACCTACAAGGGTTCCTTATATCGTGCTCTATGTTAGAATAATGGCTTTAATTTTAATCAGCAACACGTTGATACGTATTCAGCATAGCTTAGACGATACTGAAGACTTCGTAAATCGTGGTTGATTTGACCTAGTCTATATTTATCAATGAATTTTCATTTATGATAAACATTTACCAATTCATTTTCTGCATGTAGAAGGAATAACCGCCTTTAGTCTACATACAATTGCCCTATAGGTGCTCTTATTCGATGATTCAGGCGTTGATGTGGCTTTATGATGAGTTAAGTGCAGGCTGTTAGCTAAATTTAAAGCATGTTTAGATGATAAACCGTTTCGTCCTTATTGCACAGGACATGTTAACTTCATAAAGCAGTTTATATAAGATCAAGTATTTACAGATAGTATTTACTGAATATAATCAACTACTTTAATGTACTTTTGATTAAGGTTCAGGATGCGATTCATATTGCTTAGGGCTGGTATTACTGTAAGCTGCCAGAAAGTGCCCTTCTACTCCAATTTTTTACAGTATATGTTGTAATATTTTATCCACATTATACTGTGCTAATGTAGGATTATTTAATTTGTTATATGGAGCAGTAGATTAAAGATATTCGTACATATGTAACGGAGTATAATACCCACTAGGCTCGAGATCTTGTCTGTATGCTTGTAATTAACTTGCGCTTACTGACGGGTAATAGAAATCAGTACTGGGTATATAAGTATCTGTAATTTGAAAACATCACTTTTTCAATTCCACTTACGCCTTGCAGTTCTTACTAAGCCTTTCACAGTAAGTAAAGCAAATACATAACACATGGAATGAGGATAATGGATGAGCTGCCGATTAAATGTGACAAGATCAATATCTCAGTTTTCAATTTAATTTCTAAATGGGCACGGCCGAAATTTTTAACTAATTTAATTGTACTGATGCTGCAATGTTATTACTGTAGGATTCAAAATAAACAGAACAACAGACTTATAACAAGTTTATCTTAGAGGCAGCATTTGCTAGGGAAGAATGAGGATAACTTTAGATGTACCATAGATCCTCTGATCGGATTTGAGATGCTCCCGTAGTACAAGTATATTAGAAATTTTTATTATTGAAAGAATATTAGTGTAGACTATATTATTAAAATTTAAAGTGTTTACTCTATGATAATACTACACCCTAGCAATCAGTAGATGGACTGCTTACTTAACAATTCTAGGAATTTTCCAACTACGAGCTGATTGTACAGCGTACAGTAGATGAGTTCCAACGCATTTTTAGTTTGTTAATGTAGGAATGAACACATAATTTATAGGATTACTGACATTCCTATCGTTGTGAGAGTACAATTATGTCACTGTTTCAAAAGCTTTTAAATTGGACTTAACACTAGTGTTACGGAGCCATGCTCCGAAATATTAATTGCTAAGTTAATTAAAATATCTCATTTAAATTATTGTTTGCTCCAGTAGCTTATTAGATATTAATGTTTATTAATAAGTACGTGTTCAATATTGTTGACATCTCGGAGCTAACACGCTTAGTCTGTAAACGTTAATTAATAACACCTTAAGTGTAAGATCAATTACTTTGCAGAGCCTTGAGGCTCTAGTTGCTATACTAGGATATGTATATTGTACAGTGTAAGCCGCTATTTCATGAATATTCACAAGTGTACCATCGGCGAGACTATAAAAAGCGGAGTACTAGCTTAGCTTCTCAGTTCCAGTTAGTCATTTGTAGGATCTTGTGACTATTATTGCTAAGAATATTCTTACGTTTTTCTTTAGTACATTTTACGACTAAGGTTAACGAAAATAAAGTAAAGTATTTAAACCTATTACTCAATAGTAGTTTTTTTGTGTAGCTGAGAGTTCAATTACGATAGGTCCCTAAGTTAGTTGGGAATACAAGTACTAGTGAAGATAGTGTTTAAGACCCGGTTTCTTATTACAAAGAAGAAGATTTGTAACAACTAGTAATAAAGCTTAGGAGTATTACATCGTATTTCTCGTTCAATTGAATTTAACGCTAGTTCTGTAAAGCAAATTAATTTCCTTTCTTTATTAAAATCTATAAAAATCAACACCAGAAAGCGATTAAATATTCATTGTCTAGGATTAGCTACGGTAGAAAAAGTACTCCCTACTATATCAAAGTTAAATCCATTCTTGTGTAATTAAATTATTCACAATTCTATTTCCTGAATTAGATAAAACTATTGCAACATCTAGATTCTAAAAGTTTACTCATAAAACTGTTGTAATAGCCTAATAGAATTGCAGTAGATCCACTTGCATTGATCGCATTTTAAACAAACATGAAAGTATTGTCGAATAACCATATTACCCCGTATTTGTATCGTAGACCTTTTAATACAGACTATACTATTTTTAAACATGACATATGAGCGTAATTGGACCTTATAATCAATTCTATGTGTGTAAAAATTCAAGTAACTTCTATTTAATAAGTCCTATAATATGTTCTACATAGCAGATCCATTTTGATTGTTATAGGAATAAAAGGCTGGTCTTTCCCATTTCAAAGTCTTAGCTCCTCATATCTTTCCGCCAATCCACCAATTAGTTGTACTCTGTGGAGTACTACTGCATGTAAATTTAGGATTATATGACTGGTAATAACCGAAATTATCTTCTCCGCCAACGGAATTAGGATAACATACCTTACCATCACAGCAACGCGTTGTAGAAGAATCTGTATGAAGATGAGAATTCGAAGAAGCCCAGAAAGCCCTGTTACAATTTCTGCATTTATGTCCACGAATATCCATATAATCGACTTGAAAGCACTGGCCCTGACTAACATAATTTAAAATATTAAACTGTCGAAAATAGCCACGCATATAATTGAGTGGCGACTGGGAATATCTTGTTTCTGGCTTGAAGTTGCACGTTGCTCGCCACATTGGGTCACTTAATTGATGATCATTTTCATATGAAAATTTTATTTGAGCTAAACTTAGACGGAAATTGGACCAATCCATACCTTGCGGGAGTCTACCATTATTTACACCACTACTATATGGGAATGCCGTGTTGAATTTTTTATCAGATCGCTGATCAAACGAGAACGATTCGATTAATGTCCAGGCATAACCAGGCTCAGAACTAAAATCGCAATAAACTCTCCAAGCCTGCGGTACTCCAGCGGTTTCCGAACATGAATGATAGAGGTATTTCAATCCACTTGGTGGTATCAACGGTACCTTTTTCTAGCAATTTCCAGACAGGAACTTAAAGTTGGGCATTGCCCTAAATAATAGACAACGACGATTAGTTAAGGGTATCGTTTAATGCTCTTAAAGTCAATTAGTGTAATTGAAATTTGACGAGTAATCGAACTTCTTATATGCATAAAGACTTATGACAGTAAGTAAGAAATTAACTGCAAAACGATTAAGCTCATCATGCCAAATAGTATAATCTATATACATCCATTACTGTTTAGATATTATATCTAAATACCCGCATTATCTTTATCTTGATATCTTGCAGAGCAAATAATATTGATCAAGGTCATATTAGTTCATACTTTGTATACTTAGATTGAATGTATGATTAAATTTCTTACACAGGTTCAAAGTCATGATATTAAGATAGAAATTATTTACTAAACAATAAGCTTCGTCGTGCAAGATTGAATAATCTATAAATCCATCTTGTCTGGGCATGATATCTAAATTTGTGTATTATCTTTATCTTGATATCTTGCAGGATAAATAAAATAATCAAGACCATACTAGTTCATACTTTTAGTTCTATTAAACTTCTTATACACGTACATTTTGAGAGTTCGATATTAAGAGAGAAATAAACTACTAAACGATTAAGCTTGTCGCACAAGTTGAAATAATTGATAAATCTATCATTGTCTAGATGGGATATCTATATTCCAGCATTATCTTTATCTTGATATCTTTTAAGACAAAATAGAAGACATTGAGATCATACTAGATTCGCAGTGAATCCCCGTATATTGAGCAAAGCATTGGCATCTATAGCCTTTGACGTCGTCAGGAACACAGTCACCATTATGGCAGGGATTACTTTCTCTACTGCATTTGCCTAAGTAATACAAAGATAGCCTGATTAGTGAAGAGAGTAATACTTATTACAAATTATTATACTATACAATAATACGAGTAGAACCTATAATCGTGATACTTAGCGTACAGTATACAGTCTGTATGTATGTACATTGTACATATACTTTTTACTTTATATTATGTCTGCTACATTCCTACTATGGATAATATATTGCTAGGGTGTGTCTTCTATATAGCCTGTCGTAGTACAGTTTCCGCAAATAACTTATTTTTTTTATAGATAATTGCATCGTTGTATAATGCTATCTATAACGTGATAAATAATGAAAATGTAGATTTACTATCAATTGACTGATTTCTCAATAAAGTTCGGGTTTAGTTTTGTCGAAGAGAGACTAGTGGTATTAAGATATGTACAGCTACGATCAATGTTCAATTACGATGAAACTAGAAGTAGGATATTTATGGGTTGATTTCTCTTATTCAAAGTTAAGCCAGTTTTCGAATTTTCATTTTTCTTGTTGGAAATGGTTTCAGCAATAGCATGTAGCCGAAATTAAGCTTACATGTATATCTGTGGTATATTTTATGTGGTAAAGATGTTTCCTCTTATTAAGAAATCTTCTCACTGGAACTACGCGCATTAATTAGGTTATAATTTACAGATAAAACTAATAAATGCTGACTATTGTATTCCTAAAATATTTTGAATTGAAGCTACTCTGAAGGTATGAGCAATTCGTCGATAATTAATTAAATGTGTTATATATATACTGAGAGGTACGAACTTGCTTCACAGTTCAAACCATGATAGCCAGGATTGCATCGACACTGATATCCACCATTATTCATCGTCAAGCATTTACCACCATTAATACAAGGATTAGAATTACAAGCACCTATTCCATATTAAACATTATTACATGATACAAAGTATTGAATTGAAACAGTTTTACTCCGCTGACATTTGCTACATAAAATAGTATTTCTCTATAAATACTTTTTCATTTTATTGAATAAATATAGGTACATGTAGTGGAATAGATTATAACTTTATCTTATAGTACTTATCATCATGTACGGTATTATCAAATTCTAGAATAAATTCGTTAGAGTGCAAAATTGATATTAATTTTTGTTTCGCTTCTTCCTAACATCTTTTTTTTAATTCTGGAGTAAACTGGAGTAGATTATTTTTACTAAAGCTATTTTTCAGGAGCAGCTACTTATTCGACAATGTTTTTTCATCTTAAAATATATGATTGAGGCGGTTGAGATTTACTCTACATTATCACTTACTTATTTCACAGTGTGCACCGCTAAAGCCTGGTCTACATCGACATCGATATCCAAATACTGTAGGCACACAATTACCATTTTGGCAAGGATTTGATTGGCATTTACCTATTTTAAAATACTTGTTTAGATTAAAATGCGACAAGAACAACGTAATATAAAGCCTTTGAACTAGTTTTCTTACTTAACTGACAGTAAAGACCGTAGTCACCGGCATCGCAGAGACATTTAAAACCGTACTGAAGCATGCTACATGCTCCACGACGGCAAGGATCAGAAGCACAATCATCTATCGTTGACAATTATCAAAGTATAAAATCAGTACGAGAATTAAGACCATCATTTAGTAATACGACAGTTGCATTTATGTTTTAAAGGAGTCTCTCTCTAGTAAATATATTACCTTGCACTTTACTACAACGATTCAGAAAGCAAGATGCATAGCCATCAGCTTCGTAAACATTGTATCCTTGACATTTTTTTTGCTCTCACAGTTGTTATGTAGTCGCAAGGACGGGACCTAAGTTTCAAACATATACTAATTGTTTCTGTTTCTTCATCGTTCTTAACTGTAAAGAAATAAATTGATTACCGTCATAATTTTAAGAAATGTAACATTAAATGCCTAGTTGAATATCAAAATTGAAATTATTTTGATTAAGGAATGCAATAAGTTAATTAAATTCAGGCTACAGGGGTTATTATTTTAATGACAATTTGTATCGTACTCCAGGCGTGATCAATTTTTGTCTTTATCATATCAATTGCTAATCAAAACTTCCTGTGACAATCAATTAATTATTGTGTCATCAATGATATAATTTCGTTGAGTCAAGAATCATATGTTAAGACCTAGCCATTAATTAACTATTATTAAATGTCATAGGAAGTGTGTTGTGATTCTTGCTATATTCAGCATGTAGACTTCGCGATAAATTTATTATTGTTTTGCACCAACGAAGTTTATGAGCCTATATAAAAGCCTCAAAGTTCTTAATTTGGAGAAGTTGATAAGCTAGCTGATAACAGATGGCTATCAGTGGTTAGTAGTAGATTGTAAGTTGTTAGTTCGATCGGTTATTTTAATAAAGCTTTGATTCTTATTGAAGGTATTCATTCTATCGTATAAGACTCGATTCTAAGTTTGGGAGACTAAAGAGTGCTTAGAGTTAGTTGGTTAGATAGTTAAGACTACTTTAGAGGAAAAAGAATCCCGTTAATTTTTGTGTTGCAATCTCGGTTATGACACTACCTCTTATACCTTAACGATCATTTAAATCTTAATTATCAGCTAAGGTGGAGTAAAACGAAGCTTTATGATCAAATTGAGGCTTATTATAACATACTTTAGAGCACTGCAATATCTATTCAATGCGGCTAGCATGTTATTGCAGTTAGCTTAGGTAGAGTTTCTCATCGCTCCTCGTAGCTTTTGCAAAATGGATCCCATTGTATTATGTAATTTTATGCAATTTTCAGTAATCGCTGGATAGTTATACAATTCTGTAAACTTGTTCAAATAATTCTACTAACACCCTCACAGTCTTTACTATCACATCATTAGAAATCTATTAGCTACTGCATTATGGCATTACCTATGTGTTTAATACCAAACCTCCTGGCTATACTTGAACAATTGCTACCGTAGTTAGCTCGATACCATTTCCTATCGTCCAATAAAGCATGCCAATATGGGCAGTTTCTTTCCAAATTGGCATTCTGATCTTGGTAATTGGATGAATTTACTGATGTATCATTTAGTACTACAGCTGAAGCAGGACATGGATCTAAGGGGTAACGAGGATCAAGTTAAATAAAATATGAAAATTCTTAGGATCTAAATCATCTATTTATTTGTATGCTAGTAAAGAGATGAAAGAATATTACGTAGATTTATACCGATACAGGTATGGCGATCAATCCCCAATATTTTATCGTTAGGACAACTGCATTCATGGCCAGGAATTAAATCATGGCATTTATGGCTACAACCACCTTTATTTGTAGCACATTCATTAATGCCTAAAGGTAATTTTAAGATAGCTGATTGAGTAAATATCAAGACAAGTGTATTTATAGAATGGAAATTTGACTATAAATAGATTATATCACCCAGATGACAATTTACGCCAGTCATTCCTTTTGGGCAAATACACACGTATTCGTTGACAAGATCTATACAGGTTCCTTCTGAACAAGGATTAGACTGACATTCATTGATCTCTGTATCGTGTGGAAGAATAAGTTTGCATAGTATTAAGATTAGAATGGACAAAATCAATGATAGCTTGGCAGAAATTCAACACGAGATAGTTTGATATTATACCTAATTTACAAATACATTGGCATTAATTAATTAAAGAGAGTGTAAGGAATAGGTCATCAAATCACTCTATTTTATGAATTTCAATACCTTTTTCACATTTTTTTCCGGTATAACCAGACTGACACTGGCAATAGAAATAAGTTTCGTTTATTCCAATACATACGCCTTTATTTCCACACGAATGACGATTACATTTATCTAAAGTACAATTATATTTATATCAATGCAAGACGAACAGGATAATTAAGATTTTAATGTAAATATTTTACACATTGCTCTACTGCATTAGATTGAATACTCACTGAATCGAACTACACAATATCTGCTATCTGGGTTACAAGTAGGTACAGGAGAAAGGTTGTTATACATTTTAAAATTGTAGAAGAGATAACAGCAAGTGAGAGCCTTCGATTTTAGAGAAATCAGTGACTCTATTTTGGGAATTTTTTCTCTTCCAGAAAAATTCTTGCATGTGTGTGCAATTACTTACTTTGTAATAATAATTAAGATGGGCTTAGCTTTTGCTGTAAGGTCGATGAATTTACTTGAATTATTAATTTGGCTATCATATACATTTTAGACTTATAGAAGCGGTATCAGTACGAGGAAGACTTTGCTTTTTAAAAATTCCTGGCTTTAGTTTTAAAATTATTTTTTCTAATGCAGGAAAATTCTTGTGTATTTGTAATTGCCTTGCGATAGCATAATCAAAATGAAGTTAGCCTCTCATGTGCGGTCTTTTAGCTACTTAAATTATATAATTATGAATTCAGTTACTATGTATATTTTATATTATCGAAGAAGTAAGAGCTTGTAAGAAACTTTGAAATGATTAAATAGTCAGTGGCTTTGGTTCTAGAAGTTATTTTGGGACAAATTGATGCATTAATTGACAAAATCGCGGAAGAAGATGATTCAAAACTCAAAGCGAAATATCCTGTTCTCATACAGTTAGCTTTCGGCCCAGTTTGGTAATTTGGTAGGCTTAGCTAAACAGTAACTAGGCTCAAACGCTGCGGTATAAATAAGAGCTCGGATTGGGTCTCTATCGTTAATGTCTTACTTAAGGGATGAGGATCAACCATCCAAGCAGTTGCTTGGTTCTGGCATGTTCGCTGAGTTGGTTCTGTTGGTAGCATCATATCTGATGAGTTAATCTTAAATCGATACCATGCAAGACTATCTAACTTGTCATCGCATTTGATTGGATAAATCAAAGATTAAATAGCCATCGAGACGCGTCCTCAGATACTGTATAATATTTAATATTTAATGCAAATTTATTTTAATATTTAATGCAAAAACTGTATTTGATTTATAAGACTATTAAATGTATTACTTGTTGGATGATTGTCCTGCAGCCATCCAGGATATGTTGTACCACAAGACAACGGTTTTATGTATCCAGTTACCATCATCTGACTTAAATTACTACCACTAAACTGATACCAAGTATACTTCCAGTTCACTTGATCACATTTAGAATGATAGTAAGTATTATTTATTTGAGTAGAGCGACTTGGATCACTTAACTTGATTACTTTATGACAAGGATTTGCAATGTGACAAGAAAAATTATTTTAGTAGCATGGCAAATCTGTTGATAAAAATTTGCGTAAAATGAATATTTATTTTTAGATAAATTACCATAGCAAGTTTTTCCATCGTCTGATACTTGATAGCCTGCATCACAACCACACAGGTAGCTACCATTTGTATTAGTACAACCTTCCGTACAAATTGATTTATTTTCTACACATTCATCAATATCTATCCGAAAGATCAATAAGATATTCTAACATTCACTCTATGAATTTATAGCGCCTAGGGTGACTGCAATTTAATGGATATTCTACCTAATTCACAATTTATTCCTCTATAGCCAATCGGACAAGTACAGTTGTAACCGTAATTGATATTTTGGCATGTTCCATGAATACAAGGATTGTTGCGGCATGGATATAGGTCTACAAAAAGCAGTATCCGATTAATGATTTTTATTCGATATTTACAGAAATGCAGTAATAAGGCCAAGCAAAACTAAACTGTTAATTTTTTCACTACATAGCACAGCCAAAAAAAATAATAGATAAAAATTATCATAAGAGCACAGCTTAACCGAGTGGCTTAAATAGATTATCTCTCATATAAGGCAGACAACAGTGTTATCATCCAATTGTATTATCATGTTTAGTAATTAGATTGCAATCACAAGATCTAAAAATTATAGTAACCCAGAATAAGCAGAAAAAGAATAAATCACAAGAATTATACTGTAGTATTATTCATGGATTGCAAGAGAATACCATGATACCAATAAATAATTCAGTACATACTAATGTATTCGTTTTTTGTGATTCTACGGTATATCACAGTTGTAGAAGGGCAATATATTAGCGTAATAACAGCATACAAACAAGGCGTGTTATAAATTGCAGTGTACTATAGATCGTTTGACTAGAATTAGATTATTTATATTAAGCGACAACCGATTATCCGTCTTTTATACGTATAATTGAAGATTAAGCATACGTATAAGTGTACAAATACACGGATATCTGTAAATTTATAAGCTTAAGGAAAAGGCTCGACTACATGTTTATAATCGATTTTTTGTATATATAGTATAACGTTTAGGCAATAGAGTGTTACAGCACTGCCTGGCTGCTTAATGAACTTTCCATAATCCTTTAAATTGAGCTATTTTTATTACACACCACAGAGCATTATTTAAGAAGATATTCTACCGGATATTTTTTTAAATCTGAATTAGTATAGATAACGTTAAGCTTTGGGCTCACGATCAGCATTTTTTAATTGAAGTTAATTCCATTAGTAATTTATTGTACTCATTAGTAAATCTTACTGATCTTTAATATATAGGTAGTTATTTAAAATGTTTTATGTACTTCTTATGTCTTCGGTGCACATTAACTGTCAACTTGCACTTGTTGTGCCTTTTAAAAGTATAATTGAACATTGAACAAGTACCAGTATGCAAATATATGGATATCGATATATTTATGAGCTTAAGAAAACACTCGACCACATGTTTACAACAGAATTTTTTACTTATACTACTAAATTTACACGCTATCACTATTTAAAAAGATATTCAACTTGATATTTTCTTTTTTAATCTGATCGAGTGTATCGGTATATTGCATTAATCTGCGGGTTCACGATTAGTAATTTTTAAATGGAGTTAATTTGATTACTAGTAGTTCAGTAAATCTTGCTGATATTTAATATGCAGGTATGTGACAATAGCGAACTCAAAGCATAAAACTGATTAACTAATTAAATTATTAAAATGTGTTGGATGAGCTGTGCTGAACGATGTAAATTGAGCTAAAAAGCCAACAATACAGTAGAATGGTATACATAATAATCATGAAGTTGTCTGTAGAATAAAATGTAGATTAGTACAGATTATATCAGTACAGAGATTAATATTAGAAGGGTTATTCTAATTAGTACATTCTGCTTAGTACTAATTTACAAGGTAGTTTTACTAGATCAACATGGGTAGAGTATTCCCATTTTATAGTATCTCCTTGAGTCACAATCTCATTGATGAAAAGATAGTTATTCTAAAATATTTAGTTGTACTTGTAATGTCTCAGATTAGCTCGCCACAATGCCTTTAAGATATGCATATGTGCCTATTGAAAATTTGGGTCATTCATTCAGGTCCAACAAGATTATTTTTCACTTCTGCATCGCAAAATAACCTTATCGAAGTATTGACGTTATATCATTTGCTATTGCGGCATTTTAAAGTATTTCGAATAGATTTTATAACATTGCGATAAAATTATTAATACTCAATCTGCATGATTAGTTATCGTGTTGATATATCAATTTTCATTACCACAGATACGTTAGAAATTAGAAAAGAAAATAGTTCATCAATGGAGTTACCGCTTTGGCAATTTCTTCCCGTAAAATTAGCAAGACATGTACATTGATAATTCTTGCCGACTACACTACAAATACTATCGTGAAGGCAGGGATTTGGATCGCAAGGATCTAATATTAATACACAGTAAAATTGGTTGAGAACAGTACTTATCATAGCAAAATAATTAATACAAATTGAAAGTATAGCTTTGACTAAGACTTTACTAACCGGCCGGAGTAGTGCAATAACGAGAACATATATTATTTATCGATGTCGATGGTAGCCGATAAATCATGAAATCACTGCAGTTTTGGGTTAGAATATAAGAACTTTTAAAGCAGCAACTTCCCATTAAGCTGAAGCATACTTTTCTTCTGACAATTCCTTGTTCGACTAAAAGAAGCGTATCGCAATTTAAAATTTATTTATTTCATGGTGAGTATTATAGTTAAAGTAATTTCAGACTACGTTAAACACAACTATGATATGAGTTACTAACTTTATTAACATTCTAAAAAGATAATTTCCAACGGGGTACCGACTGTTAAAATTATGCATGCTCATGATGATCCTTTCAGGTCTGTAAAAAAATAAAGATATTGACTGTACTTGACAGGGGTTCTAGGTAAATTAGAATAGCAGCAATCTACGGCTAAACATTATCGATTATCAATGGAAATATAGTTGCCATTGATGAGGATTATAAAGAATTCTTATATAAAGTAAAATAAATGTTCTCAGATTTTGCTAGAATAGTTACCATCACATTGTGAATAATTTTAATATTGATAAAACTATATCGAGTATACAGTACAATAGATCAAGAGTATATAGTATTTGTATATATACATTAAAGGACTTTGTCCAAGACTGCAGTAGAGGAGTTGCAATTAGTAGACGAGGAATAGACTATTTATGACTAGTACCTAATAGTGAAAATGTACCTATATCTAATAGATCAAGAGCATACAAAAATTTTCCTATACAGTAAAGAATTTTACTCTGGGCTGCAGTAGAGGAGCTGCAATCAAGGATTCAATCATTTCGATCGTTAACCGATAAATATAGTACATATAGTAGTCGAAGAATAGACTCTACAAAACTACTAATTAGTAATGAAAATATAAATGTTATACAATGAATTATACAGACTGACATAGAATTAGCATAAATTACTAGTACTTGTTTGTTACGAAAAGGATAGCAAAGCTATATACTCGTATAGCATGCAGTGTCTTTAATTAAGAATCTCATGAAAATTAATCATTGTATTCCTAAGTGGTTAACGATCAGCATCGTAATGTTTAATATTTAAAGTAATTGCCTATATTACTAAGACTGCCGACCATTGATGGCTATTATAAGTAGGCTTTTAAAAATGATAGAATTTAACCTAGTTTTAATAAGAGAAAGAAAGATATAATAAATACTAGCAAATAGTAAATCCTATTATTTTCATAAGTCTACTTATAACCATCTACCGAAAACTATTAAAAGAATTGTAAAGCTGTAAATGAATTTCTCTGAATTTATTTAAATCGCGTTTTATAATAGCAGTGTGCCGGTCGATTATGCTAAGTATCTACCGCGATTTAATATAAGTCTATATGAAGCAAATACTTTTTGACGGAGTTAAATAGAAAAAATGAGATATTATCGTTCGAGGTCCATTAGCCATTCGTCTTTCAGTATTTTTGTAGCAAGCAAAGTCCATCTAGCTTCTTAACATTGTGTAATTCGCTGCCAGAATATCAATATTCATCACTGGATGTGGCCCCCTATGCTATGAAAACTCAATTCATGCATTTGTTTTGATAATAATCTCTAAACAATTAATCTAGAGCATATTTATTTGCAAGATATCTGAATTTGTTTTGAAGGTGATGCTAATAATGAGATTAGATTCTAGTATGGGAATTCTTCTACTCTCCAAAAAATAAATAAAAAAATGCACAAGACTGTTCTAGTATTCGAGCATCAAGTGAACACTATTCCTATGTTTACTAGGATATCAATTTAAATAGATATTTTCCCTAAACAGAAAGCTTGTCATTTTATGATGATGGATCATAGAGAACTTTGGATTTCAGTTTTGTTACATAGGTTCGATGGGTAAGCATTTAGTAACGGAAGAAATTTTTCGAGCATGTTCCATGCGAAGTATAAAGCAGAATTTGGTATAGCACAATACAGTACATAGAGATACAAGAATCCTTTAAGCCTCAACAAATGTTACTTTCTGCTAATACAATCGAATAATCGATAAAGTATTCGGCATTTGCTACAACTATCTCTTTTCTTATGTATTAAATACTTTTAGTTTACAAGATATCAATCAGAGCATGTATCGTAATTGCTATAAATCGATAAGTATATCGCTTACGTATATTCGTACAGTATATCAGTAATGATTTTAGCTCAACATTTGTACTACTGATTCTGATTGTATTATTCATGGAATTAATTTAAAAATGTTTTCCTATAAATATAACGATAGACTCAGTTACTGTATTGAAAGTGTTATCTCTATATTGTGCTCATAACAACGTANAGGGTATTACGGTAAAAATGTGCATGCAACAATTTTAAAAAGTGCGCTTATTAATTATACTAATTTGTGAACTTGGCCAAGCTTTATTCACTATATTTCAGTGCANCATACCCACGCACATGCAGATTGATGCTATGATAGCGAGTAGATGTACCTTGCTTGGTAGCAACCTGTGATTGCAAGAATGTACAGTGATGTAAATAAAATGACTACAATAATTTCTATAACAGTTTATTGAAGTGAAATTTTCGCCGCAACGAATACTATCAGAAGTAAAGCATTGGCTAAACCTATGAAAATTTTAAAAGCATGTTTTCTCACCTTATGATCCATGTCAATCGTGAAAAGTGGGCTCCCATTAAATGTATTGCCACTTCGTTTGGCCTAAGAACAGGGCGATAAAATAAAATCATTCATTCGTATTCAATACCGATGATGATTCACTTCATTTTCACTCTTGGTGGTCAGTAACAGAGTAACTTACCTTTCTGTAAGCAGCAAAGGAGGCATCGTCGTAGATAGCGACCTTATAGACACCAGTGGTTGCGGCTTTATGATCTTCAACCCAACTCACCTACGCCGTGATAGATTGTGCAATGTGGAGTAAATCATCGATATATCATTATTAGAATAATGTTGTATTTGAAGACTAGCTATTTGCGTTCTGTACGAAGTTAATATTACTATTACACCCTATCATGATTTCAATAACAATATTGTAATGTACAATTGTAATTAAAAAGGTTGCATGTGTAGATCGTAGTATATCTTCCATTGCATCGCGCAACAGAATAACGTCTGATTGAAGTGCAGTTATGACCACCAAGCTAAACTGGTGTTGTATAATGTGAGAGATAAAATCACCTCAAACGTATTTCCATCTGCGTCGCGAGCAACCGGCAAAGGTTTGTCATCGATTATAGCGTGTAACTGATCCGGCTACAAGTTTCGTATATCAATATAGAGAATAATGGGTGAAGGTTAGTGCTTTCATGACGTTGCATTTTGGAAACATGATCCCCTAGATCAATAAGCAAATTTGATCGCATTTGAAAAGTTGAAATGTATTGCAACCTTACCTTGTCTTCACCGTTACAATCGAGCTGAAAAGCTGCTAGAAAGGTGCTTTCTGATTCTAGAATTGCGTTGGACGTGGAGTACCGCGACACCGATTTCGGTGAACACTGAAGTCCTAATAGGGAAAAAGGACACAAAGGCAATTCATTTTAGGCAAAAAATGTTACAACCTTATGGCACGTCAGAATGCAATGGAGCTATTAGTTCAATTTGTCAACATTTCCCACGAAACTGCTACTGAATGAACAGCATTCTATTTCGTTTGCAGCTGCTACTTTAAAACTACAGTAGAATCATACAGTAGTACCATCATCTCCTCAATATTTCGCTTTATCCAGTAACAATAGAATAATCTCTCCCTAGAATACACGACGAGTGTATTAACTCATGAATTATTGAAGTTGTAATTTATAGTTGAATCGATTGATGGTCCAGTACTTGACGAAAGACTTCAACAACTAACATTGGCTTCCAATTCTTAGCATTGTGTCCGCATTGAGGCACATATGGGTTAGCCATTAATAATCTCATCAAGCGGACACAATTCATGAAAGCAGCATCAGCATTAAGCTTAATGTTGTTGACTTGATCATCCTATTCTATGATTTACTTTATTAAGAGGGCATCGATGGTTCACTTCATGGAGTCTCTCTCTCTATATAGATATATATCGTACTCCATGTTGTCCAATTTGGTACAATTGTGAATGATGAACGTGCGCCATTGACAGTACCCTTAGCAAACTTGAACCTTGTATAAAATTACTGAAACACGGCTCAAGGTTAAGTGGATACTATAGAGCTTGTTCTCCTACAAAGGCGCAATAGGGCATTACAGAAATGGAATCAGCATAGCGGCTTCACTACGATGTTATTTCGTTAGAAAAGAGTTTTAAACTAGGCAATGTTTGCCAATCCAGTACGGTTGGTCAGACTGAGAAGGGTTACACTATTGAAATCGACAGTATTGGAAGGATTTTGAAGGGTTTTTTCTCCAGTTGAGTCGTTGAGTGGTTGGCAACTTATAAGGTTTGCCACTGAAGCAATGATGATTAACGCGGTGTACAAGCACGCAGGCATTGATGATGCCGATTGAATACCATCGATGCAGTCAGTAGAGTATCGGATTTGTTTCCCTTTCGGACAATGTTACAACAATCGCAACATTCTCGATTTTGATCAATAACTAACAAGTCTAGCAGAATTGAGGGCAATCGAGGAAGTCAAGAAAAGCCATTTCAATGGCAATCGATTGCACAAAAGTAAACAGTATCCCATCGTGTACACTGTACAGTGGAGTCGAAGTTTCTCTCCTGGAAAGCAGTCCCCAATAGGTTCATAAAGGCTGAGAACTGGGATCATTCTTAATTATCCGATCGATACAGTCGAGCCATATTCCATCAAGTAATGGTATCCATCCATGTTTTAGTCGGTTCTCCTCGTGTGTCTTTACCAAACGTATTGATTCCGTACGATTTTAATGGCGTTTATCATTACATCTTTAGACAACGACTGTAGTCTACCAGATGATAATAGTATGCACTACCAAGTTATAATCATTGTAGAGCTAGAAATCAACTCATACATTCACAACACTAGCCATCATCCCTATCGCTATCCTGCTATCCATCAAAGTTGATGGAGCGTTATTAGCAAAGTCTTTGTGACGCTCGCCATTACAATCGACTGTTCGAGTAGTCAATTGTCATGGCTTGCGAGCAAAAATGGCGATCGACGAAAGTATGACAGTGGTTCGAACGTATTCAACACATGGCACTAGGGTAAAAGTATCTATGATAGCAATAAATGGATGGCTATCTTACCAAAGCACGGTGAAATGAGGAATAAGAAGGCGAAAAGGCCAAAATGCCAACAGGAAGCCATTGTTACTGGGAACGAATCTTTGTGGAGAAAAATGCCAACGACGGACAGTTAATAGGCTCTGAGACTGTGATTGAAGCACGCCGTACATTCACTCACTACTCGGTACGGCGTAGCGACGGCTACAGTAAAAAGAGAAAAAGACTGTACTCAGTGAACAGTGAACAGTACTGAATTTTACAGTGATAGACTGTCACTTGGTGTACTGTGCACTGTATACTCCGAATATACAGATGGACGGATAATGGACGAGGAAAATGTGGAACCATACTTACTCAGTATGGATCTTTGGTGTCTGTTTTGTGAATCACTCGTATTGATTTGAATAACATTGATGATCTTAAGAGACTGTTTTCAAGCAGAGCTTAGCAACAGGCAATGGAATACATTGAAATAGGACTTGATTTCGAAAAAATCAGTCCGTTCAGAATCGACTGTCTGCATACTAAAGTACTGTCATAATGACACCATTTGTAGATGAAATTAGGACATTCGGCCAAATATCTGTCCGTCCAAAGAAGCGGACGGTCGAGTGTGTCTAGTGTACAGTACACTGTACAGTACTGTAGCTATTCTTCGGATACTGTACACTGTACTGTACACTGTACTGTATACAGTACTACTCAAAATTATTTGGATACAGTGTTTCGCCACTTTGGAGTGAAAGTTCTTGTCGACTACATACAGAACAGTACAACGACGACACTGTTCAATCAATGTTATTATAAAGGCTGACAACTGATATTACTATCATTGAACAAGAATATCAATTGTCAGCCTTCAACTATTCGACAGTGCCATTTGCGAATCCGCATGGCTTAACTGAGCAATGATGGATCTCTACAGTATCCGAAGCTGGGATCCAGTACAGTGACTATCATTAATAGATTCAGTATGCCTTCGTGCTCCGATCTGGTCCGGGCCGTGCCGGGCCCAATTCTGCATGGACCTTTCACCCTATGACGTGTATACAGTGTACAGTGTACAGTGTACAGTAGAGTACTGTAGACGTGTAGAGCACTGTACTGTACAGTACAGTATTCACCCATGAATTTCATAAGCGTCCGGTACTGTACTGTACTGTACATAAGCGTAGACTGTAGTGAATTGAACTCGGATCGGATTTCGGATTATAATCCGAAAAAATCCGACTAGATTTCGGATCGGATTTGAAATTCATGATTCGTATATACGACTTAATCCGACTAAATCCGAAAATTCAAAATTAAGATAAAGTACTACAGTAAGTAAACTATAATACTTTGTACTGTAAAATCGGATTTCGGATCGGATTCGGATTTTATGTAGCGCTTTCAATCGGATTAAATGTTTAGTCGTAGTGGGGTTACTGAATACACTAGGCGCCGTAGAGGCTTAAACTTCAAAGCCCAGGGGGGAGCTTGTAAAGAGGGGTATAATAAGTCTAAAGTATATTAAGTACTAAAAAGTAGTACTATAAAGTACAGTAAGTACTAGAAAGTACAGTATATTAGTGTACAGTATAAAGTATACTGTAAGTACAGAATACTGTACTGTACAGTACTGTACAATACGTACAGTACAGTATACTGTACGGTACTCGTACAGTACAGTACAGTACACCCTTTACAAACCCAATTGTCCCCCTGAGTACTGTACAGTGTACAGTACAGTACAAACCAACTCGCTACAGTACTGTACTGTACAAAACTGATCAAAAATTTTGCCCTTTCAAAAACATACTGTACTGTACACCCTTTAACAAACCCAATTGTCCCCCCTGAGTACAGTACAGTACAGTACAAACCAACTCGCTACAGTACATACTTTCAGTACTACAGTACAGAACTGTACTGTACTGTACTGTACTGTACTGTATATTTTTGAAAGGGCAAAATTTTTGAAATACTGTACTGTACAGTGTACAGTCTACAAGTGTACAGTATTGTATCATGACCACCGTTTCAATGAAAGCCCCTGGTTGCTTATAGAACGCCATCTTGAAAAGAGTCTACTTATTAACACGGTACAGTCGACTGTATTGACATTCTTTCCCTCCTTCAGCAATGAAAAGCGCTCAATGGAATAGAGGCAATTTCAACGGCATTCTCAACGCCATGAATAATCCTCCTGGCCAAAATGTAAGTTCAAATCGTTTACAGTATACCATCATGCTATTCGGATTGAAGGAATTGGAACCAGGGAGTGCATCGGTGAAAAATGGCGATACAAAATTTCTTCATCTTAACAGATAGTCACGGAGAATGGCAGTCACTTTGCAGCTGCCTAAAAATGGATCCTATGACTCGCCACCATCCATCCAATGTCGACGCAAGCTTTCCTTTTCGTCTAGTCAACTTGATAGTTATCGTAGCTTGGCATGATGATGATTGACGTATTATTGTTGCCTCATTGCAACGTAGACACTCAACATGAGTTCAATGCCACTTTTGCATGTCCAATTCAAGTCGTTCAGCCTCATTCATCGACTACTGTACCGTGTTGAGCTCGTAGTCAACCCTTTCCTTTACTTTGGCTGGCTGCATCTTCACTACGATCATATTGTACTTGGACGATAGCATATATAGACTCGATACGAGTATATAGCGATGAGTGGAAGACAGACTCGATCACCAATATCTTTGCTAATGGATGAATACGTTAGGAATGAATAAAAAAATTGCTTTACAAATCGACATGCCACGATCTTACTCTATCTTATGCTATCACCCCACCCATTGCCCATCGATTGCACGACGTTACATTACTATTTCGTATACTGTACAAGTGTACTGCGAGTGGTTGATATTCTTCATCTTGATACAACATGCTATAAATCACCATAAAGACGACAACAATCTCCTTTCTAAATACATCACTATTGATTACTAATCCTTTCTACTCGATGATTCTCTGAAGTCATGATGATAATTGAATTATGCCGTTATTGTCTGTATTACAGAGGCCTCGGAATGGACTTGCAGCTGCTCGTCTCTGTCATCAAGTTGGCGATACTTCTCGAGCAATAAAGTATGTTGAATAGGCGACCATTTTCGAACAGTATACCAACTTTGTTAGAAAGAGTACATGTCTAGTTGTAGATGCTTGAAGGGTTCTACATCACAATAGCGTAGCAGGCAATCTCAAAACGATCATTTCAGACATCGATAATATAAGACTTACCACAGCAGTAGCGTATTGATAAAATACGAGACAAGGATGCGTATAATTTCAATTAAACGACTGCACCTTAAAACTGCAAGTCAAATACCACCAATGGTTATAATATTATAAGTGTTTACTATAAGTGGGTATTGAATATCAGGACACAACGTTTTACAATGTATCTGTACAAGGTATTCTTTACGAAGCTACTATCACTAAAGTCTTAAGATAAACAACCATCAATGAAGATTTTAATCACTGTTGTAATAAAATGCTACCTCATATAACTGCTGATATTCTTTAGATAGCAATAGTTAAGTGTTATGTAATGTTGACAGTACAGTAGAACAACCATCATAACTTAAAAGAATCGGATCCTTAGTGCAACACTAAATGCAATGATACAGGATTGCTACATCGACAATCTAAAAATCAACATGCCCTTATAAAGAACTAATACTGATGCCCTTTCAAGATAGTTATAAATGTTACAACTACAGTAGTTTGCTTTAATCTTTGCTTGGC